CGACAGTGGGATTTGAACCCCAGACCTCTTGCATGGCGGTCTAGCAACCTAACCACTACACTAAGATCGCCAGACCTACTTCAAAAAATTGTAATAATTCTTGTGAGGAAGATGATTTAAAAGAATGTAATTTTTTAGATATCTTAGTATGAGAAAAAAGAAGATATATTGAGAAGTCTTTAATTGTAGCTATTCTTTTATTCTATATTTAAGTATATATAAATATTGCATAAAAATTGTAATTATATAACTTTTTTTTATTTTTAGTAGAATTTACTATTTCTGTAGCCTATATCAAAAGCATTATAAAGTTAATTTCTACATGTAAATCTTTATAACTTTCTTTATATAAACAAGATTAATGATGTATATTATAATGATATTCTTCTCAAATTTTTAGTATATTTCCAGTAATTGCTTTATCTTCTGAAGTTAAAGATGAAGTATGTAGAACCTTCTTATTATTTTTGTAATTAACTAAGGATTTTTTTTCTTTATAATTTAAATTAGTATTCTAAACTATTTTTGTAATTATATATTTTGTTAATATAAGATATATTTAGTAATTCTAATAATCCTTTTGTAAAAATAGTATAACAATAATAATATATATACAAGTTTTTTAAAGCTTATCATTATATAAAATTCTGTATATATTAAAGTTTAACAATAGTAATATATATGCAAATTTTATAAAATTCCAAAATATTATTTATTTGTTATACTATTTTTTGTAAAGAGTAAAAAATTACTTTTTTTTTTGTTTTATTTAAGTTGTTTCTATAATCATAATATAAATTTCTATATCATTTTTTTTTGTAACTAACTTTAAATATTCTGTTTTAAATTTTATAAAATCATAAGCATCAGCTAATTGAGTATCAGCATCAGTTTCTTTTGATACTTTAAATACTATACTATAATCAGTTAGCAAAAGAGTATTATCTTTAGTCAATATAATAATTTTATTATAAATTGATAGAAGAAATTTATCTACAGTTGATACTGATTCTTTAAACTATTTTACTAGTAGTGAAATTTCTTTTAGCAGTTTTAATAATTAATTTATATCCTAATTCAAATTTAAAATTATTGTCACTACTTGTTAAGCTATCCTTACTAGTTACTTTACTAGCTACTTTACTAGCTGCTTTACTAGTTACTTTACTAGCTACTTTACTAGTCACTTTACTAGTTGTAAAAGATATAGATAGAGAAAATAACAGAAATACTTCCTAAAATATATATATATATATATATATATAAAAGCTTATATATAAGTTTGATAAAAAATAAATAAATAAATAAATAAATTATATTAGTTTTACTTAAAGTATCTATTATTATATTTGTTGTCAAATCTATTCATCTATTGTTTTATTCTTTGCTATATCTGTTGAATTATTAGTTGCATTAGCCATTATTTCATTCATTGTTACATCTATCATTTTATTTGATAATTTTTTTTTAGTATTAGTTTTTGCAAGAGTCAATTTGTTCAAAATGTTGTTATAGTAGCTACAAAGAGAAAAATTAAATTGTTTTTTTTAAATTTATTTGATAATTATAATCTAAGACTTTTTTGTCAATATATTCTAATTTTAGTTCTGTTTATATAAGTTCATATTTATTTGGATATGTTTGTTTGACTTGAAAAATTCTGTTTTTTTTTATGAAATTTTTATAATTGCAAATAATTGATACAAATCTACTATGCAGTACAAATATTTTCTATATTCAAAACAAGTTCTACAATAATATTTGAGTTTTGTATTTATAGCATTTGATATTAGATCTAAACTAATTTAAAAATAAGACAAATATTTATTTATTTTTTTTCTTTTGACAGTCATGCTTTATATATTTATTAGATAAAGAGTTACAGATAACTAATCTACATAAGATTTAACTTAATACAAGAATCTATAGTTCCTCTCTATATATTTAATTTCATAATAGAAAGCACTACTTGATACTCTATTTGTATATATACCCAAATATGACTTGTTATACTAAAAACCTCCTTAATATAAAGAAAAAAAAAAGTCTAGACTATTTTGTCTAACTGTCTAGGAAGATAGATATTGATAAAAGTAAAATAAAATTGTTACATATAGTGAAAAGCAAGGCTATATACTATATATAATATTCAAAACAAAGTTAGAAAAATTTGCTAACAAGATAAAAACCTAATAAGCTAAAAGAAAAAAGCATAAAACAAAAACAAAAAGAAAGAAAAAGAAAATAAAAAGTGTCTCATAAGAATTAT